AATAATTACTGCTTTGCTTCTTCACTGCACAAATCAAGCTAATTACAGCACAGGCCCTGTTTTCCTTACGCCTGAATTGCTTCTCTAACTTACTGCAGTGTGTACAAATATACAAGTCTTCAAGCGTGAGAGACCCAGGAGGTCGAGCGAGTTTAATGATTCTACCTGTTATTTCTCAAATGAACTGCTTTGGAAATTGCAGCAGTGGACCTTATAATAAGCAAAGTGTAGATGTGATAGGGATGGGGATGTATTCCACAATGTTCAAATCACATCTCGGCTGTTGTGTTTGTAAGAGGCAGGTTTTAAATGAGTTTTCTACTTTTTCCAAAACGAGCCCTTTCATGGCAGTTCACTGATCCGTCCAGCTGGTGCTGATGAGGTACCACAGGTGTCTTTAAATGAGCTCATATCACCTCTTCCCTCCCTCTCATCCATCATGTGACAGTGTATGGGGTTCAGAGGCTGTTGGGCCGCTGTCGGTGATCATTTAGAGGCAGATGTTCTTGAGGGCTTTATTGTGGTTTCCTCACATCGGTTATATTGTGTTTGTGTAGTATTCTTACTGCATTATCTTCCATGCAGAATCAGATTAATTGGTTTTAGTCATGTGCACTGCAAGATTCTGCTCAAACAAAACAAGCTGCTTTTATAGGCTAGCAGTTTAATAAATAATTATTTATGTACAGCAGGATCCAAAAGTCAAAGACCACTAGTGAGAGTTTATATTTCTCCCATTTATATTTTTCATTTATTTTTTTATCAATTAATATATCATTTACTTTTGTGATTGCTTTATTATTATTTTTATTATTGTTATTATTTTGTATTTTAAAATCCTAAGTCTAAGACCACTTATGAGAATGCTTCTGTTTCTGTTTATTAATCTATTTTTATGAAAGTATTTATAATTTATTATTATCTTATAATCCTATTTTAGAATTTTGCTTCTTATTAATTTATTTATAATGCTATATTTTTTTATTTTTGTGTTTATTTTATTTCTGTTAATATATTTATAATTTGGTTTATTTTTTGTTATTATTATTATTATTATTAAGATTTTAGTTATTTTTAAAGTTTTTAATTTATTTGATTAATTATTTATAATTTATTATTATTGTAATTTTATTTATAATAGTCAAAATCCTAAAACACCACTAGTGAGAATACATCTATTTTTCTATTTATATTTTTCATTTTATTTATGTTTATGTTTTTGCGTGTGTGTGTGTTTAATGTATTATTTTAATTGTTTTTGTTTGTTTGTTTTTTTATTATATCTTTCAAAATCCTGAAATTGCATGTTTATTTTTACTTTTAAATGCACTTTTAAAGCCTGTGATCTTAGGTCATGCTGTTATGCTACAGTTTGCTGATGTTGTTATATTTCTGTTTCCTGCTGGGTAATATGTGTGTTTGTGCTTCCTGTGCTCATTTGCAGGTGATTACCCAGCTCCTCGTGCGGTTCTGACCGGTCATGACTATGAGGTGGTGTGTGTGTCAGTGTGTGCTGAGCTGGGAATTGTAATCAGTGGAGCAAAAGGTAAGTGAGAGAGGAGCATTGTGGGATATGAAGTGAAGAGGCAGTGTGTGATTCCACAAGAGCGTCATTTATCAGACATGTCTGTTTGTCAGAGGGGCCATGTCTGGTCCACACCATCACTGGGGATCTTCTGAGGGCGCTGGAGGGCTCTGACAGCTGTGTGCTTCCCCGCCTGATCTCAGTGTCCAGTGAAGGTCACTGCATCATCTACTATGACAGGGGTCAGTTCTGCAACTTCAGCATCAACGGCAAGCTGCTGGCCCAGATGGAGATCAACGACTCCACGCGTGTATGTTCTCAACTCTTTACTTGGTCACACACATACTGGTCTGTTAGATTAGATTCTATAGCAATGCTCAGTTTTCTAATAATGCTCTATGGCTGCAATTGCAAAACTGTTTGTTGAATAAAAAGATGAATTCTTAAATAAAATTCTAGTACATTTTTCACTTTTCAACATTATAAATTAATTTAAATGCATAATGTATTGGTAAAATAAATGAGTAGTCTTGTAGTTTGATATAGATTATTATTATTACTACTACTACTAGTATTACTTTTATTATTATTGGTATTATTATTTAATATATGAATATATCTCTTATTTTTTATTAATTGTTTTAAACATTAAATTATTTATATGAATGTGTTTTTATATTTTTATATAATATTATAATATTTTATAATAATAATAGCATAGTAATAATCGGGAAGCACATACACATTTTGTAATATATTTTATAATACAGTGTAAAAAATAATATTTTGTAATATAATATAAAATTATAATTTTATTTAATACATTAAATAATTAATAACAAGAGTTATATTTCAAATTTTAAAAAACATTGTGGTTGGTAAGATTTTGTAATTTTTTTTAAGTTTCTTATGTTTGTCAAGGCTGCATTCATTTGATCAAAAAATACAGTAAAATCAGTAGTATTGTGAAATAGTATTATCAGTGTTGAAAACAGTTTTTTTGTGGAACTTGATTCTTTTTTCAGTATTTTTGCTGAATAGAAAGTTCCAAAAAATAGCATTTATTTGAAATACAAATCTTTTCTAATATTATAAATGTCTTTTTGCTGTAATTATTAATTGGTTTAATGTGTCCTTGATGAATAAATGTATTACTTTCTTTCAAAAAAAATTTAAATAAATAAATAATTCATTTTTCCTTCCACAATTCCTTCTCTTTTGTCAGGCCATCCTCTTGAGCAGTGATGGGCAAAATCTAGTGACTGGAGGAGATAACGGGGTGGTGGAGGTCTGGCAGGCCTGTGACTTCAAGCAACTGTATGTCTACCCTGGCTGTGACGCCGGCATCCGAGCCATGGACCTGTCACATGATCAGAGGTCAAACTTTATAAACCTTATACAAAGTTTATACTTACACCACACAGAGACAAACTATACAAACAAATCCTAAACTGGTTTAAACCTGACTCTGTTTTCAATGTTTCCAGGACTCTGATCACAGGCATGGCGTCTGGCAGCATCGTGGCTTTTAACCTTGATTTTAATCGCTGGCACTTTGAGCATCAGAACAGGTACTGAGAGCGATCAGCCAGTGACGGCCAGCTGCAGCCTCGAACGGTTACGTGCCAATACGGGAGGTGATGTAACAAATAACATATGGAATATGGATCAAGAAATGACACAATGCTAGTTGGAGAAATCACAGCAGTTTAAGTGTGGTAACCTACACTGAGATTCAGCTGCTTATACGTGTCTCAAAAAATGCACAGGAGCAGTTGACAGATGACAATTTCAAAATGAATGGAGAGAGCACAGATGGAGGCCAGTTTTTCATCACAAATTATTTTATCTAATTGTCATCAGAACCAACAATAGTCTTGTCAAAAACAGCCTTTTTACTCGTAGTCCCGTCATTTGAACTGTAATCGTGACACTTTGCATAGAGAACCAATAACAATATTTTTATGAGGTTTATTTTCTACTGGCTTGCAGCATATTTCACTTTCTCTAGGTTTTTTTTCTTTCGGCCCTTGGGAAAGAAAAGCTACCTGAACAATAAATAAGTAAAAGTCCTCCCTCTGCTGCTGAGCTCATGAATGTAAATGCTATACAACTTCTTTTAAACTTGTCTGTGAGGCTGCTTTCTGACTTATGTCCTGTTTATGCGTTTGACATCATCAAATGCTTTTTGATATGATTACAAAGAGAGAGAAAAAAGAAATGCTCTTTTGTTTAATGTGACGTCCTGTAATGTTTGTTCACTCATCCTCCTCACGTGAGGATGAATGGTTTGTCTGTTGTGGATGTATTTCATTTCAGATGTGTGATGTATGCACCATTAAAGACAAGCACCAAATGAGGGTTGGCGCTGATGCTGCATCTGGGCAAATATTGTAATTCTTGTGCAGTTTTATCATTTAAAGTCATACATGGCTTTACACAAACGCTGAGGTTTTTAGACTGGTATTTGCACCTGTAACTGGTTTTTATTTTGAATATTTTCTCATTTGCATACACCAAGCTTTGTACATCTCAAAAACTATTTTGAGTTTTCACATGGTCAGAATATTAGGATGAAGGGTGTGCGATAAATATTATTTGTTATATTCCTTTACTGTCTTAAATTGGCACCTTTCAGAATTGCACTTGTAAACAGAAAATAACATTGTAAAATCACTGCTGTAAGCAATACATTATGTATGATGTATGTGCATCTTTGATTCTCTTACATAATGTAAATCAAATCTATAACTCAGAGTTTATGAATCAAAAAATCTACACTATTTTTAATTGTTTTTGTGCAAATATGTGAAATATTCTGCTGTACGAAGCAAAACATTTTTTTTTTTGCCAATCCACACAAGAAATATGGTGCCATACTTAACATTTTATTTACAAGAATAGATTTAGATTTGATATACTGAGCATTGGTTATTTGTAAAACCTTAAAAATGAGTTTACCTTAGTGTCATATGTTAAAATGCCTCAGATTTCAAATTTGATTATTGAAATCAAATTTGATTTGATTATGAGAATAGTTTCCATCAGGAACATTGACATTGCAAGTGAAGGTGCCTGCTAATTCAGCAGATATGCTTAAGTTGGTTACGTTTTAGTTAAAACTGTTCAGTATGTCCTAGTGAATCATTGTGATGAGAGAAATGTATTTGCCTACTTTTTATTTATAATAAAAAATATCAAATGTACGGCATTGAGTACTGTTCCCTTGCATCAGTGGATACAAACACACATCATGTGCATTTGAGAACAGCAATACTTTCCGTCATTTAATCCGCTTGATTAGGACTTCCTTTACATTCATGTGCCTCATAAGTTTTTTGGACAGTCACGGAAACACCGCACCTTGCCGTTTCAGCATTTGAGGGGAAAATATCAAATGGTGACAGAAACAGGGAAACATGCATAACAATGAAAATCTCCTATACTAAATATCATTCTCAGTAAATTGAAACTGACCTTAAAAAATAAAAACACGGGTTTCTGCTTGTGGAATCATTTATTCACAGGTTTGGCTTGTTGCTGAATGCACCACTGTTCAATGCTACTTGGAAGCAAAGACTCTTCCACCAGTAAGAAAGTCAAGCCTAAATGACATTTGATGGGAAAGACAATAGACAAGCGATGGATATACATCTATACAAATATACAAGATGTAATCTATGCTTGTGCACTGAATTTTGCATATGAGCTAGAATATTTCCTATATTATAATGAATTGCTCTACATCCTGTTGATCATGGATTGGGTTCTAGTCTAATTTTGACGAGCAAACACAGAAGATACATTTTTAATTAAAAAGCAACTACATGCTCATACTTTAAAGAACTACTCTTTTCGCCTTTGTGCTTTTCACCCCTTCATAGTGTCACCTGAAGCCTTTCATGCTGGAGGCTTCAATAAGCTGTATAACAATGTTAAATACTGAGAAGCACAAACAGTCTTCACTGAAACTAGTTGCTTGTACTGTAGATGGGGTCAACATGTCTTGATGGTAAAATGATTATCACTCACACTCAGATCACATGCAAGACAAACACACTCGGCCCTTTACAGTAAGTGTGCAAACTCCACAAAACACCACATAAAGGAATGAAAATGTACTGTATAAATAGATAAGACATTTGGAGTCCAGACATGGCCGAGCAACAGAAACTTAATAGCTAAGTTTTGTGTATATAATGCAGCTATAACTGCTATGCTGGGTCCCACTTTATTTTAGGGTATCTTTAACGTCATCCATCTTTAAGTACTTCTAGCTGAAAAATTATTGTTTGGAACAATGTACTTGTGTTCATGTTCTATTGCAAAACACTTGCTGCTATTATGAATAAACTGCTTTAAAAAAAAGTACTTATGTTAATTCGTTAAAATAATAAAACCTACAATCCCTGACTCGAACCCACGACCTTCGGGTTACAGAATTGCCATTCAGCCATGGCTGCCCCCAGAATAAAACTCAGAATTTAGATATAAATGTGCAATTCTGAGAAAAAAACAAGAATTGTGCAATTCCAAGCTTATCTCACAATTCTGATTTTGTTTTCCCCATTTCCAAGTTTACATTTCTCAATTCTGCATTTATCTCACAATTCTAACTTTTCCCCCACAATTCTGAGTATATATCTTACAATTCCATCTTTTATTTCCTCAGAATTTCGAGAAAAAAGTCAGAAATGTGAGATGAAAAGTCACAATTACCTTTTTTTTTTTTTACTATAATTATTATTTTTTAAAATCCATATCTATGGTGGAAACGAGCATCATTCTGTTGTCATATTTGGCCATCGTGTGACAAAAACAACACCATACATTCAAATTAAAATTGACAAAAAAAAAAAATTCTAAAATCTGTCTAAAATATTACATTCCACTTAAAAAAGACAAATATGTAAAATTTTAGTCCAAATGTACTCTTTAAAATCAGTAGTGGACATTTAGTGTGTATTACGGTGGCCGAGAGAGCTCAACGCGCTGCAACTTAAGAAAACACATGCAAATTGAAAAAACACCAGCAAATTAAGAAAACATCTTCATCAGTTTGACAACACACGCGCTGCAAATCCTCACAACACATGCAAATGAAGAAACGCTGCAAATCCTCACAACACATGCAAATGAAGAAACGCTGCAATCAAACTGATGAAGATGTTTTCTTAATTTGCTGGTGTTTTTTCAATTTGCATGTGTTTTCTTAAGTTGCAGCGCGTTGAGCTCTCTCGGCCACCGTAGTGTATACTTTTTAAATTAAAACTCTTAATCGTACATACTGTTCTGAAAATTAACACAGGAATTCAAATTCTAGGAAGTAGCTGTACGATCTTCATGACAAATAGTAGTTGACAGAACTGAATTTACAGCTGAAGAGATTATTATAGCAGCAGCAAGAACTGACAAGTTTCTAATCATCGAACGTCATACGTGTTAAATAAACACCCATTACTTGGATTGCATTAAGTTCAAACAAGCATTTCTACAGCCACATACATCAAAAAGAGCTTCAACTAGTCAGGCATTTTACACATTTTAGAAAGAACATTCTAATGTCTAACCAACAGACAGAAAACATGTTTCTCAAAGAAAATAAGGCTGAAATACGCAAATATAAGTTATCCGTTTGAAATAAATGTTCAAACCTAAAATATTTAAAATATATAAAGTTCATACAAAAGGTAAAAAACTCACGTAAAAGATTTTGTCGCTGAAAGAAAAGATGTTAAGACATTGCAGGTTTATTATGAGTATTAAACACACGATCATGTGTGTGTGATAACTAGAAACAGAGCGGGAGGTTTGGCTGCAATACTTTCTATCAAGAGTAGGATGGTCTACAAACAAAACCTCATATAGCACCAAACGGTAGTTATGAAGAGAAAACTCTTAAACAATGACAAGGGCTTCTCAATTCGGATGAAAAACTGTTAAGAGAGTGAGATTATTTTTACACCTGTTCAGGTGTGCTACCCTCACAGAATTTGAACAGAGAAAACCAGCCCATCCAGTCCTAGTTAACCACATCTGCTCCACCACGTAACAAACATTCATTTTCAAAAACTGTCATCTTTTGCTATTCACAAGGCGATTTACCTTTTCTTTCTAGATCATTTTCCATTGATTCCTTTGCTTAAAATGGTGATGTGGGTGAGCGGACCGTTTCGGCCGAGCTGGGGGAAATATCCTCTGACTCGGAGGTGAACTCTGCTGGAGAGAGGGTCGGGCCGGTGGTGCGGCTGGAGGGGAAGGTGCTCTGGGTGCTGCGGGGAGCAGCCGCTTTCACATCCTGGTGGCGTCTTCGTCTGAAAACCTGCCTCTCCTTATCAAGAGGGGTGGTCTGAGGAACACGAGAGCATGGGACAGTGAATGACTGCTCAGGAATGCACTAAACAATAACACAGAGCAAAGAAAGGGAAAAGTGAAGCACTGACAATCAGAATTTAGCAAAGCACCACCAGAAAGCAAAAGCTACGCAGAGACGAACTGAGAAGCATTAATGGCAAAAAGCAACGCATCACCCCACTTTATAACTCGAGGCACAGAGTGTGAAAGGAAAGGGACTATGGAGACTGCCAGCACGTTGCCATGGAAACACTGTCGGTTTGGGCCGCTCTGTGGGCATACCTTATCCAATACATCCCTGGGTGCGGGTAGCAGTCCAAAGACCCTGAACGCTTGATGGTAAACCCCTCGTCCGGCTGAGCAGAGAGAAATGAGTGGAACTCAATACATCAGATTTTTACTTTCACCGTGCAAAACAGCACAAGCTTTGAGCCGTGAGGAGCTGTTCAATAATGGCGTTATATTTAGAGGTAGTTCTACAAAACAAGAGCAGTGAGTAAACCAAGCCCTTATAATGGTCCAATAGTTCTACATATAGAAACACTCAGTGTGGGAAATAAAAACAACTATGTTTGAAGCTAATGAAACAGTAATCATGCAAAGCAATGTGCAAATAAAGCAAAACATAAATACGTATATATGGGGTCAGTAAGTGATGCTGAAAATTCAGCTTTGCCATCATAGGAATAAATTACATTCTAAAATATATAAAAATAGAATACAGTTAATTACATTTTAATAATATTTCTCAATATTACTGTTTTTACTGTATTTTTGATCAAATAAATGCAGCCTTGGTAAGCATGAGTATCAAAAAGTAGAAATATTTTGAAAGAAAATGTTTTGTTTAAAGTTTGTTTACATATGGATGTAGTGTGTGTAATGTTATGTAATTGCCCTACATAAAAAAAGCATGTATGAAAATATAAAAAATAGGAATCTTCAGTGTCTAATTGGATACAGTCCCTGACAACAGTGCTGACAGTCATTATATAAGCAGAGTACAGAATCAGAGGAAGAGATGTCACAGCCATAAGGAAGCAGTAGGATGGAATCTGCCAGGAGAGAAGAGGAATGAGAGAAGAAGAGCTGATGGATGAGTCAGCGAAGAGCTATGAGATAAGAGTACAACCTCCAGAATTATTTAATACCTCTAACTATATTTAAGTAGATTTTATTATAGCAGATCCAACTGCAGTGTACTGCAGACCCTTTTAAGGGTTTGTTCCAAAAGACTTGAGGGCTATTCAAACTCAAAACAATGTGATTGCATGTCAATTTTTCATATCAAAACTATTCAAAACGCAAATGTCACTCTCAAAGAAAAGTACATATGCCTGAACAAGAGGGAAAAAACTGTGCAGTTATTCACATGCTTTGATGCCAGGTACAGGCATCATGAAATATTATTAGATATGATATCACTTTTTGAAGTAGCAAAATTAAAACTGGACACCTTAAAGCTGCTTATGAAGTGATCCTTAGTGCACTAATATTTGATTTTTGTATATTGGCTTTAATTAATGTGGGTAATGTTAATTGACAAAAAAATATATATATATATATATACACATTTAAACATAAGAGCTAAATAGGCGACGCTTACTGCTATGACAGTGACTCCTGCTGTGGTGTTGTTGGGTTTGGGGCCCATGTTGAAATGTTTCTTAATCTTGCCGGCCACAGACAACTGGTGCTGATTCTCACACATCCTGTCATCCTGAGAAAGAGTAGAAACAGTACCTCCACATATCAGTTTCCTACTAGTAGTCTGAGAATAGCACATACACTTAAAAAACAGATAAAGTCTTACATTGACCCAGGGATGGTCTAACACCTGGAGAGCTGTGTATCTCTGTTCGACCTCCACCTCTAGCATGCAGGTAATAAGTGCCTGTAGAGAAAGGAAGTAAAAAAGAAAGAGAATGAGGTTTATTTTTCTTTCCGGAACTTTCAAACTTTAGTTTTTGGTATACCGACCTTTGCAGAGTCAGATACATTGTCCCAGTATGGAAGAGGGAAATCCAGCTGTCCCATCATAATCTGGTCAAAAAGAGCCTCCTGATCATCTGTGCTCCTAAAAGAACAGATATGCAAAATCTTTTTGAATTTTCATGAATATTTATTGCGTTATTACATTTAGGAGTGAAGGTATGACTTCTATCCTCTGCAGATGTGCAGGTCAAAACAGAATGACAGAATACGGCCACTAGAGGGAGCGACACATGTATAAAATGAGCGCTGTAAAGTTATCTAAATTGAACTCGTATTGACCCCATAATAAAAGTTGCATGCTTAACTTACAACAATGCTGTGCTTACCCACGGAAAGGAGGGAAGCCGCAAAGCAATATGTATGTTATGATTCCGGCCGCCCAGATATCAACTTTCAATCCATACCTATAACATGAAGAGAAAAACACAACATGATAGCACTCTTTAAGTTTCAGACCAGTGAATCCAGCCCCTGATCTTTAAAAGCTTTGGTTATGCTCTGTTATAATAACATTGCCATGCTAATGAAGATATGACTTACCCCGTCTCTGCGACAATCTCTGGAGCTACATAGGTCGGGGTGCCACATATAGTGTAAAGCGGACCGTCCACAACTGTTGCCAAGCCGAAATCCCCCAGTTTCAGGGATTTGCTTCCATCCTGGTGCTCATAGACCTGAAACACATATAAATACACTCCAATCTGCATCCAAATACTTACTATTTAGGTTCAGAAAGCAGATCCTAAACAGATTTATTTTTTTTTGGTAAATAAAATTCGAATTAAAATGAAATATTAAATATAATTTAAAACTAACATATATGCTGTATATACTATATATATATATATATATATATATATATATATATATATATATATATACATATATAACAAAAC